GATTGTTCATCGTCTAGTAAAATGAATATATTTTTTTCTTCTTTAAACAGTTGCTTTAAGGATTACATTGGTAGGTTTTTCTTTTTTTTTATTAAAGTCTATTGGGGTTTTTTATTAAAGTTATTAGTCAAGTTATATAGGTTTCAAGTGTACAGTTCTATAGTACATCATCTATATATCACATTGTGCGCTCACCACCAAGAGTCAGTTCTCCTTCTATCACCACATATTTAGGTTTTTCTAATGTTGACTATAATTTTGTTACTTAGAAAAACCTTACTTGTTGTGTTGTGTTATATTATTCATTTATTACACTACAAAATATGATTTGCTACTGTTTTAGCATTTTTAACCACTATTCTAATATGTGGAGTTAGGGTATGTATAACACACACACCCACACCACACAGAGGGTGCCAAAAAATATATACACATTTTAAGAAAGAAAAAATCTGTATTAAAATTACACTGACGATAACCACTTTGAGCACCTCTTGTAATTGCAAAAGTCGAATGTGACTTGTATTCATTTTTTGTTATTGGTATATATTGAGTATTACAATTTTAATACAGTTTTCCTTTCTTAAAATGTGTATCCACTTGTTTGGCTCCCTATGTATATACACAAATATATACATACATTTTTTTAGGTGTATAATTTTTAAAGTTTCTTTGAAGCTAACTATTACTCCTTTTTTGTTCCTAAAATTTATGTCTATTATCTCACTCACAACTGTAAATAATTGCCTATATCAGCAATATTTTTTAAGAAGTCACTACCTTTAATTAATGAAGCCTACTTTTTCTATTGTAGTAATTCATTTAATCCTTATTAATTTTTTCATTAATTCTTGGGTATACTTGGATAATTTTTTTCTAGTTTCTTGAATTATAAACATTTCATTTATTTATAATCTTTCTTATTTGCATTTAACTTTAAAAATTAATCTCTCAATAATACTTTAACTATTGTCATGGATTTTTGGAATTTAATGCTCTCATAGCCTTTAACATTTAGTTTATAATTTCATATGTCATTTAATTCTTAATCCAAGATGTCGTTGGAATGCCTTTATAAATTCACATTTAGATAGATTTTGAAATTGTTATTATATTTTTTATTTCAAAATTGATTGCATATTTGTAGAGGATGGCTTATTTAAGCTCATCTCTGGGGAATTTGGCAAGGGGGTGTAAGATGTGGATTTATCAGTTCTGATCTCAGGTGCAGAAGAGGAGGAGCAGGAAGTTTATTATTTGTATTGACTCAAGCACAGACAGCTTTAGTACAGAGTTATAACACAGACTCAAACCATGAGCAAAAACTAAGCAGCCAGTCAGGAAGGTCAGAAATATCTTTTGAGTCAGTGAATTTCTGGCTGTTTGGTATAGTGTTTCTTTAATGTGGAGGAACTATCAGATGATCAAAGTCTAGGTTGTTTTGTTTTGGTTTGGTTTTAGTTTTTTTAAGATATTATTGGGGAAGGGGAATAGTGTTGGGGAATTGGGGAAGGGGAACAGCCAAATTGTTGTTCTTCAGTCTTAGTTGTAGAGGGCGCAGCTAGCTCAGCTCCAAGTCCAGTCGCCATCCGGCTGCCCATTGGCAGCTCGTGGCAGCTCAGCTCAAGGTGCCATGTTCAATCTTAGTTGGATGGTGGACATAGCCCACCGTCCCATGCCGGAGTCGAACAGGCAACCTTGTTGTTAGGAGCACGTGCTCTCACCAGCTGAGCCATTCTGCCACCAGTTGGCAGCTCAGCGGCAGCTCAGCTCGGGCGCAGCTCACTGGCCCATGTGGTAATTGAAGCGGCCACCCTGTTGCTCAGAGCTTGCTCCCCTAACCAACTGAGCCACTTGGCCAGCCCTAGTTTTTTTTGTGTTTTTTTTTAATTTTCATTAAATTTATTTGGGGTGACATTGGTTAGTAAAATTATATAGGTTTCTAGTGTACAATTCTATAATACATCATCTATATATTGCATTGTGTTTTCAACACCCAGACTCAGTTCTCCTTCCAGCATCATGTATTTGACCCGCTTTACCCTCTTCTACCACCCCCACCCTCTTACCCTTACCTTCTGGTAATCATTAAACTGTTGTCTGTGTCTATGAGTTTTGTTTCCTTATCTTGTTTGTTTGTTGCTTTCAATTTTATATCCCACATATGAGAGAGATCATATGGTTCTCAACTTTTTCTCTCACTTATTGCTCTTAGCATGATAAACTCAAGATCCATCCATGTTGTTACAAATGGCACTATTTCATCTTTTCGTATGGCCAAGTAATATCCCATTGTATATATGTACCACATCTTCTTTGTCCAATCATCTATCAGAGGACATTTTGGTTGTTTCCATGGCTTGGCCACTGTGAATAATGCTGCAGTGAACATTGGGACACATACATCTTTACAGATAAATGTTTTCAGATTTTTTTGGGTAGATACCCAGAAGAAGGATTGCATTTGAAGAGAATTCAGACAGTGCTAACCTTCTACAATTTGGAATTTAAAATAATCACCCCCCATACTCGACCCTCCAGTTTCAGTGCAGTATGATTTGGGTAGCAGAGAAAGCTTTGGTAGCAAGAAAATGTTGCCTTTCTTTACTATTTGAAGCCCCAGTGTAAAATTCTTGTGGTTGGGCACATAATGAAATGGTAGGATCTGTTATGGACAAACCATGGGAGTTTGTTTTAAATGCGAGTGGCATTTATGCTTGAAATACATTAAAATCACTAGTATTTTTAAATATTCTGCTAATGTTAATATGTTTAATGGGTGAACAGATGTTTTAAAACTATGAATACCAAGCACCTAGCCTTTTCACTCAATCTATTTCAAAATTCAAGGTCCATTTATTGGCAGGCTAATCCTTTTCCATTTTCACCATGTCTTGCCCCAGCTTTAACACATGAATGTTCTTTTGTTTATTTAGTTCTGTTTTGTTTTAACCCTTATGAGTCTAAATATCAACTCCTCTACCTGGCTTTTAAAGCCTCCTATGATTTGAGCAGATCCTCTTGACTAATGTATTTCTCATATTTGTTTAACATCTTTTCTCAACTCCTGGCAAACCAGCCTCTCCATAATTCCTTGTAGCTGAAATGCTTCAGATATTTCCATACCTGAAATTTATGCTATAATACCATGTCTGGCCTGAATGCTTTTGCTCACCTCCCTCTGCCTTTGTAAGTCCTTTTAATTATTCCTTGCATTTCAGCACAAGTTCAACCACCTCTACAGTAAAACTTTCTGGGCTGCACCTCTTTCCTCTCCATTACTCTCCAATAAAGACTTATAGTTGTGTTATAGAAATTCTCTCTTCACAGTGAAGTGATGAATAAAGTTCCATAAATGTTACTCTGTTCTGTGTCATTATAAATAGGCAAGAGCAGGGGTCGCAGTTTAAACTTCTGCTTCACCAAGAAAGTCAGGAATAATTTTCAAAGAGCAGGCACTCATTTTATACAATAGGCTACCTTCTCCACTTTATGGATTAAGAAATTAACTTTTAGTAGTTTAAAGCATCCCAAACCATTAGCTGCAAGCTCTAGATAAATATCTCTCAATTTTTAGGAGTGTTCTGTCCCATAGGTGAGTTATTTTAAAATTTGATAAAACATTTCTTTTTCCGAAAGCTTAAGGAAATCACTAAAAAGTAGTCCACATCTTTTTAAGGATTTTGGTTCATGGGTAAATCTTTATTTTGTAGTGTTAGGTTTTAGAGCCACCAAAAATCTGACTGACACTGAATTCTATGACCCTTTTTGTGTGTTTTCTCTCTTCCACCAATTATGTATTTGGGTATCTATGTTTTAATAATTGGCTATATATTCACATGCTGTTTATACAATCGGTGTGCCATCTCCTTTGAAATAAAATAGGAGAAAAAGAACACAGGCTCGGAATTTGAGAGTCCCTTGTGTAATTTGTAGCACAATAAAGCTTCTTTCATGAAGCAGGTGTTCAATTATTGCTAAATAAATATGAGAATAAAAGAAACAACATCAGGCTCTGGGGGGAAAAAATAGACTTTATCTGTGAAGAGCATATAAAAGATTCCTGATGGAATAGCAGATTTTCACCCTCATACATATTCACAGGTGATAACTCCCACATTAAAATTTATATTGATAGAAACGATAGGATTTGTGTGTAATTTTTTTTATTAGTACCCAGCCAACCTGAGCAGTAACTTGCTTCACAAGGCTCTACAAAGATAGATATTCAATTTCTGATAGTATTGCAGGGGAGTGCAATGCATTGGCAGGCTCTCAGTGAAGAAAGTAGCAAATTTATTAAGAGGTGAAACCAAACTAGAAAACATAATTTTTTGGTAGTTATCAGTCTGTGTTTCGTAGTGAAGGAATTAACATGTTAACAAATTAGTAGTAGCTAACCCTCATATAGTACTATGTACCAGATACTGTTTCATGTGATTTATATAGGATAATTCATTTAAAATTCATAATAACGCTTTGAAATATGTTCTGCTGTCATCATTTTATAGATTAGGAGACTAAGCAATAAAGAGTTCTAGTAACTTGCTTAAAGTCATATAATAGTGGTAAAGCTGGGATTAAAGTTCAAGCACTTTGGCTCTGGTGTCCCTGTTAGTAACCACCTAGCTATGTCATGACTTAGTTTATGAGTTTATGACCAAAATATGTGACCAAGAGCATCAAGAATAACAAATATTATAATTGTCAAACTATATGACATCAAGCATTGTAATTTCTATATGTAATTTCTGTATGTTAAGAGCTAAGAAGACACAGTTATTTTGACCTTGTCTTAATTTTCTTTTGATAAACCTGTGTGAGCTGTACAGGTCTGAATTAAATGAAGAAACGAAAGAAATCAGATGCAGGCCATTTATGAAATCAAGAATTGCTTTTTGTGATATAATTCTTGTATACTGCAGAACATGAATTAGATTGAAATGTAGGGTAGATTGTATTTATGGTAAATATTTTGTGTTCATTTTCCCTTGTTTCAGTCTATCCTTGAGACTATTCCAGATATACCAGTTCATTCCAATGGGTCAGCAAGCCCTGGACGGTCAGTTCAGAATTCAGTGAGTGGTGAGTAACACAACCTCCTTTGAACTTAAGCTGTGTTTTCTTGCTTTTGTGCTGGTACTCAATACAGTTAGCAATGAATTTCTAAAAGCAAAGTGTAAGTGTGTTTCTCCCCATTTTGATTCTATCACCCCAGCATGTACTCGTCCCACCTCCAAACACCCCATTCTCTCACACCAAATAAAATTAATTGAGACAAACTGTTAGCAGAATCTTTTCTCCTTTGTTACCACCGTATCATTTAGAAACTGCTCATTTGGTAGTATCTTTGATTTGAGGCCTCTTTTGCAGGTAATCTGGATCTGCTTAACAGTTGCAAGCAGGCCAGGAAGTAGACAGCTTTCAAGAATCTCTAATTATCCTTCTCTAACAACAGCAATGTTGGCTTTAGATGGACTTAATTTTAATATCATGAGAATATATAGAAATATCCCCTTTTTAGACTTTGGTAATCCTCAATGCCTTTCATGAGACATAAGAATCTAAAATTAAGAACATCAGATTAAATAGAAAGTTTGTTTGGATAACAATATGAACAGAAATGTGTTCATATGGAAGTCTAATGACACTGCATTACTGTTTAACTGAAATCATTCTGGGTGTGTCTGATGCTTTTCCTTAGATGTAAACATTCTAATGTGCTTATGGATTAATTTGTATTTAATTATATATTTAAAAAATAATTATGTTATGCTTATTTTACAGTAAATGGTATTGATTGGTTAAATGGAATATTGAATTTTCTACATCCTTTGTTTCTTAGGTGATGGTTATCTGGAAAAGAACATTCCACCAGATGCTGAAGAGCTATCCTTTGAAGTATCTTATTCAGAAATGGTTACAGAAGCTCCAAAAAGAAATAAATTTAAGAAGTCAGATTTTAAGAAAGAAGACTATGTTTTAACTGTAAGTAAAATCTTTCATCATTATTCCACTAGCTTCCTGTTACTTCTCTATGGTGCAAACTAGGATTTTTAGAAAAAATGCCATTGTATGTGCACAGAGGATGGGGAGAGGTCTGGCCTCAGTGTGGTGCAACACTGGGGCGCCATTTGTTGTATGTGCAAAGCCTGCCTGGCTGTTCCTGGCAGCCCTGGGTTGAGGAAGAGTTGTGAGGGTGTATGCTTGAGCAGTGTTTTATAGATGCAGTAGGATTTCCACCTGGCTAGAGTGCTTTCATGCACTTCATATTCCTTGCTTTACATACGTTAATGCAGAGTCTAACTGTATACCTACTTGTGCCCCTAGAAGCACATATCAGAATGGGGTATTGCAGAAAGTCACAACCATAAAAAGTGAGAGCTTATAGGACAGACACTAAAAATTCTTCAGAAACAAATTCAAGAATTCATAATATTATTATGGGATGGGCAAGTAGTGCTACATACATCATTATCCTGAAAGCCTCCTTTTATGTATTCAGGATACTATTGTATACCCTGAAAGCCCAGTACAGAAACTACGTTACATTGATTTATTTGCTACTCGATAAATGCATTTGTGGAGTTCATGATGTGGAGCCCTGAATGTTCTACGCTCATCAACATGATGAGCAGGGCTCACGGAGTTTCAGAGCTAAAGGAATGAGTCATCTAGAATCAGGCGTCTTTGCCAAGCGGCCTGGACCATCCCCAAATACCCTACAATGGAGAGGAGGAAGAGGATGGGGCAAGACTGTAAGACTCACTGAGTGCCTTTTAAAGGCCCCATGCTACACTAGGTATTCAGTTGCAATCACCCCTGTGATTGCTTCCATTTTACAGCTAAGGAAACTGAGGCCCAAAGAAGCTAAGCAACATAGCCAACACCCCACAGCTAGTAGTTGGCAGAAACAGGATTTAAATCTATGTGTGTCAAACTCCAAAACCCCTCCTGGCTCCTAGACAGTCTCTATGCTGGAGGGCGCAGTGGCATTCTGGGGCAAAAGATGGAATCCAGTGGGTCTGGTTTGGGGGGAGCCCCTCTGAATCTTTAGAGAGAGTCGTGCAAGAAAGGAGGGTGACCCCCAAATCCCTCATTCAAGTTGTCCACCTCCTTCTGAAATTTGGCTCATCAGGGTGCGGGCCAGCCTCCCATGGAGAACTTTGCATGGAGTTTAGCACATGGTAATTGCTCAATAAATGATTGTGGTTCTTGTTTATATTGTTGTTGTTCTGTGTTACTGCTATGTGGGGCCTTGATCTCAGAAAGAATATAAAATAACTAAGTGTTTCATAGCACAAGGTATGCCCAAACTACATTCTATATTTTGTTGTACTTTTAAATACTTGGAGTGCCAAGGAACAATTGTTGAATGAATGAATGAGTGAATGAATGCATGAATGACTTGATGGATGGTTTCAAAACCCCAAGGAAATTCTAACTTAGGGAACCCCTATGGAGAAAGTGTACTTAAAGCTTTGTAATTTAAATAACTATAGGATTTTTCTACTTTTGCTGTTTTTTTTAAATACTGGATTTTCTGAGAGCAAAGCATTTATTATATACTTTATATATACTTATAATACTTATAGTTACATAATTATATATTAGTTATATATTATACTTATTGTGTAATACTTATATTTTATTCTCAATTATATATAATATAAGAAAAATCTCTTTTAAAAGGTCTGACTTATAGTCTTTACAACATGTCTGGATTGTTGAAGGGTTTTTGGTTGTCATAGTGTATTTTGCTTTCTAGTGTATAAATGGAGACTATAATAATATCATCGTCTTTAAAATGGTAATAGGATTATTTGGCACTTTCTATGCATTTTTCTTTTTAAGACTGTTTAGGATCATCTAAATTAGATTCTTAAGGTGCTATCTCAGCAAGCATATGCAGTCACTTTCAATTTGGAAATTACAATCTTTTAAAGTATGCAGAAATGATGTCTGAATTAAGGACTAATGGTCCAAAATTAAAAATATATTAAAAGCTCTCCTGGGAGTACCAAATGGCATGCCTTGTATGCATGTCTCATGTGTGCCTTGTGGTATGTACATTTCGTATGATGCCTGGGATGTACATTGTTGACAACACAGTATTTTCCTTGGAAGAAAGCAGTGTTTACAGTTGTGATGGCAATGTTATAGTATACTCAGAACACTGTTTTGCACCTAATTTATTGGGTTGTCAGAAAAATCGCGACACATTTTTGCAATGAAAAACATAGAAAAAATACATCATGACTTTTCTGACAGCCCAATAGCATAGTAATGATCTTCATACATTCTAAAAATCGTATCAGTCTTTCTATGATGCAGCATGCTCCTCAGATATTTTTGCAAATAGCATGTCTTGCTATAAAGATTTAGAATGTACAGGTGGCATTTGAATGAAGGTATAATAATTTGTCTTTGCCATAAAAAATAAATATCCTTACTATGGATTTTAGAAATTTATTGTTCAGAAAACCAGATTTGGCCTAACTGAAGCAGGAGATCTGTCTGCTGAAGACATGAAGAAAATCCGCCATCTCTCTCTGATTGAATTGACAGCCTTTTTTGATGCCTTTGGAATTCAACTAAAAAGAAACAAAACAGAGAAAGTAAAAGGACGAGGTAATTAAGAAGACTGATTTCCTCTGATTTTAACAGTTTGACACATTGGAATAAGGTAGTGCTTTTCTGATTCTTTTTTTCTTTTTTGACTATTTTACAACGAAGACAATGGGATTTTTGGAGTTCCACTTACAGTCCTACTGGACAATGACCGGAAGAAAGACCCTGGAGTGAAAGTCCCCCTTGTGCTACAAAAAGTGAGTAGACTGTAAATGAATGGAGAATTCCTAGAGCCTCATGCTCCCAATTTGCTCTTTGTAAACCCGCTAATGAATGTTCCTTTAGATTTAAAGACACTAAAGCCCTGTTAGGACTCAGGCCATTGGTGGTTTTCAGTTTCTTCCTTGAATCCCTATGACATCTCACAAGCACTTGGAGCAGTTTGCCTTACTAGAACCTTTTGGAGCCTGTTGCATTGTCTGAGCATAAAGCACCAGGTGATGGACACAGATACACCCTCACATGGCTTCCTTTGGTTATATTTTTTTCCAATTTTTAAAAAAAGTTATTTGTATGTATATAGGTATTTGTGTGTATATTTGATTTTTGTCTGGTATAGAAGATAACTATGAATGATCAGCTATCCACTTACTGATCATACAATTATTTTCTGAGATATATCGTAGGTCGGGTGTTCCAAAATGTGTATGTGTAATCATGTAAATGAATTTTCCAAACAATTGTTAATAAAGTCTAAAAATCAGTTTGTTCGGGTGGTTTTTAGGTGTGACTGGGAAGATAGAATACATTAAGACAAAAAAGAATTTTGGTCTGGGAAGTTTTGAAAGTGATGTTATCTGAAGTCACATATGCTAATATCTCTCTGAACATCATTGGCGAATGGCTCATTTGCTTTTAAGTCTAATTTTTTTTTATAGCGGAGGGTTTACACCACTTTACCTAAGTATACATTTATTCAACAGTGACATCCAGTGGCACAATGAAAACTTCAAGCCCTAGACACAAATCTTACTGAATTTTAAATTGAGTTTTTAAATGATTGTAAAAGTATTGACCTAGGAAACATATACAAGTACGAGTACTTATTTTATTCACAGGAATAATTCTGTCAGTTTATTATCTCTCTAAATGTTGCTACTAGTGCCTCAAATTGAGTTACTCCTCAAATCAGGTGACAGATTGGCTGCCAATGGGGGCAGGGAGAATGGAAGAGGATGCCAACAATGTGTCAGGGGCACAGGGGTCATCTGTAGGGCGCCTCGTCTGCACAGGGCTGTGCCAGTGCCTTCCATATCCTGTCACATCTTGTCAGTGCTGAGCAGCCCAAGGAGGTTGGTGTTATCATCTCCCTTCTACTGACAAGGGAACTGAGGCAAATTAGGGTGAGATCACTTACCCAAGAACACACAGCCAGCAAGAGGTAGATGCAAAAAAGAGTACAGTGTACATACCCAAGGCCAAAGTCCATGGCGACTCTATGATTTCCTTTTCTTCCTTGGATTAGAACCTTTGTCCTCTTTTAAAGGACAGAGTTTGAAGAAAATGCGTAAAATTCGAAAACTGAGAAGATTCAATACATGAATTTATATTATTATGTAAGTACAGAAACCTAACACAGAACTTAGCAAATGGAAGGTGCATAATAAATGCTAGTTTAACTAAATCCATATTCATATCATATTAGCAACTCAATACATTTTATCTATCATTACTACTGATGTTAAATGTTCCTCTTTAAGACAGCTTGAGGTATTACTCTTCCATTCCTTTGGGAAAATCTTTTCTTCTGGACGTATTTCTTTCCCCTAAATATCTATTTCACTTCATACCTATAAGAACTTCCCTAGTTCCAGGCACCATCATATCTTGAAGCGAAAATAGCAGAGACTCTAGATCCTGCTCTTGTGTGAACTTGGGTAAGTCATTAATCCCTTCCATGCCTCAATCTCAGCAGTAGAATGGGGATACTAATAGTACCTGCCTCCTAGGATTATTGTGAGGATTTAAATGAGTTAATATTATAGATGTAAAGTACTGAGAATGGTATCTGAAATGCAAAAAGTACACAATCAATATTAGTTTTTATTATTTGTTTACACCATGAGCGTTCATGAGAGCTATACATCTTTATGTTTCTACCTCCTTGGTTAGATTTCTAAAATTCCTATAGTTTCTTAGCTAAAGTGGTTGTAATTAATGATAGTGATTTTAGAATCTTTTCTTATTGGTCACTCAATCTGTAGGAAGAGATATAATAATCAGATCTTAAAATAATTAAGCGGCAGTACACTTTAGTGGTGAAGAGCACAAGCTTGAGAGAGTCAGTGATGTTACTTTTAAGTTTGATCCTGGGAAAGTGATATAACAGCCTAAGACTGTTTCCTCATTTGCAAACTGGAGGCTAATTTAGACCTCATATGGTGTTGTGAACACTTACCCAGGCATTCAAGTACCAGGTATGTAAATACATATGCTTGGTAATTCATTGTTTGTTGTCATCATTATTATTTTAGATGTTTGTAATCATATGGAGAGGATTTATTTTTGTAATGTATTGTTTCTTTCTAGTTTTTTGAAAAAGTTGAGGAATCAGGTCTGGAATCTGAAGGAATTTTTCGACTTTCAGGATGTACTGCCAAAGTCAAGGTACTGAACATTTTCTCTCTTCCTCCTTAGAGATCTAAGCAAGCTAGACCCAGTTCATACAAGCATCAGGTAGCGAGTCCTTTGTTGATGTTTTTGATACTGTTGCTTGACCTTAACTAGTATTCCTCAATACCTTTGATTAGATGTTATTCCATGGTCCTGTGTAGTATATTGTTTTAAAACAATAAAAAAACTAACAACAATGAAACAACATATCATTTCACCATCAAAAACAACTGCTTGTATTTAGTTTGTAAAAGTTGAAAAGTTCTATCACTGTTTTTCTGGGTTAAACACTTTAGTTTGCTGTGCTCCTCTCAGTCATGGAATTCACTAAACCAATGTTATATGAGCCCTTATTTCCATTATCAGTTGCTTTATACTTAGAAATATTGTTTGGTTCTCCTTTGAATGAAAGTCCTTATAAGCATTTATAGGGGGCATGGCTGGTTAGCTCAGTTGGTTAGAGCACAGTGCTCATAACACCAAGGTTGCCGGTTTGATCCCTCATGGGCCACTTGAGATGTGCCCTCCACATCTAGATAGAAATAGCTACTTGACTTGGAGCTGATGGGTCCTGGAAAAACACACTGTTCCCCAATTTAAAAAACAAAAGAATTTATAGGAATAACCATAACCACTATAATACTTGCTCAGCTGTTCTAAAATCCAATTCCATTTAAAGTAATATTAGTTTCCATCGTACACATGAAGAATTCCTTTCTGCCCTCATATCACTCCCTGGCTGGTGGACACGGAAACATGAGCAGTTTTAAGTGTTGAATCTCTGAGAAAAAAGTCTCAGGGTGAGGGAAAAGTGAACTTGGTTCTGTTTAGAAGTATTAAAAGGAAATGTGTAGAGGAGGAAAAGCTTCTCTTCATTAATTCATTTTGATACACGTTTGGGGAAATTCTATTTCCATCAGAAGTCTTCAAGGTTTTATACAGAAATCTGAGGAGCTGTCTTTCTAAGTGGAAACTGAGAATAAATAGGCTGTGTCTTTTGGAAGCCCCAGAAAGCAGATGCTAGGATGAAGTTAGGACTAGAAGAGGGTTATTGGGGGATAGTGCTTCTAAAAAGATGGAGGCAGGGTTGGGTAGGCTGAGCTTCCGATCACAATTCAGGTCTAACAGTTAGTTCATCCTGTCCCATGAAGTGGCTGTGCTCCGGCCCCCCTACCACACTTAGTCAGTGCTAGGACTTCCTATGAAGAAAGGGCTGAGACAGATCAGAAGGTGCTAGCAGCTGGGGGAATCAGCTACCAGGATTTTTACAGGTGAACAGCAAGTTCTTTTTGAAGGGAGATCTGAGCAGTGTACCACCCTTTGCCAATGGCAGAAGGGGTCAAGGCATTTTGGGGTTGTGACTTCCCTAGGAGTGAAGATTACTAAATACTGGCACAAGTTCATTTGGAAGGCAGGAAAATTTCTAATGGCTCCTTAAGGTTTATACTTTCTAAATTGAATCTGCTTTTGTCTCAGGCTCTCATAGTTATGGTTGTTGTATATATTGCAGAACAAATGTATCCTCAATCTGAGGATGAAGGCTATCACTAGTTTTGGTTAAATCTTTGTTGTATCTGTGGAGTTAGAGAACCAAAATGAAGTCAAAGAAACAAATTTTTTAAACAGAATTACACTGCATCTGTCTAAACATTCCTCCATAATTGGGAAGTTGTGTTTGCCCATATATTTACTGGCTCGTGTGTGTGTGTGTGTGTGTGTGTGTGTGTGTGTGTGTGCGCGCGCGCGCGTGTGCGTGCACATGTGTGTGTGTGTGTGTGTGTGTGTGTGTGTCTAAAACATAGTATGACTTAAAGTTCTCTTTTTAAATAGTCAAAAAGAGAAAAAACAACATGGCATTTCTTCTGTGCATGAATTTTAGCATCATAGAAGAAATTACTTTTCTGTGCTAGTTTGACTGAAAAATGCTTATCAAAAGCTAGTAATTCCTTCAAAGTGTTCTTAGAAACACATGCATTCCTGAATCACATTTAAATAAAAGTCCCTTTCTCCCCTAATCAGTTTTATGTAGTTTCAGCCTATTTAGTCCATTTCTTGTTAGTTCAAAAAAATGTAATCCAGATGTTTTCATGGTTTGAGCTCCAGAAAAGCCAATGTGAAAGAAATCTGGGCCAGTGAACAGAAATCGGGGAATATCACAGATAGAAAGGCATTGTAATTTGATATATTAAAGGGGTCTTTATTTTTATCCTTTGTTCAAACTTTTAAACTATTTTCTTTTGTAATTTCATCTGTCAGATTATTTTTTCTAGGAATATGCTTGGGGAAAGACAGTTAAAAAACTCCACTTTAGTTACCCTCAAATTGTGATAAGTGGACGACACTAACACTAAGGTGTTATTATGAACATCCGGCCCAGTTTTGTGCTTTCAAAGTCTGGTAAGACTAATAGGAATGCAGTGCTAAGGGGAAGCTGCTACTTTTAGTCACACAGGGTCACAGCAGCAGAGCCCATTCCTATGTTTAAGGCCTCAGATCATTTGGAAACAATTTAATATTTTGATGTTTCCAATAATTTTTTTTTCCAAAATGGATAGAAATTTGAGCCAAACACTGGGAAATATATTTTATGGAAGAAGTCAGACTGTTTGACATGTGAGGTTTTCTTTTTTGACTCATTTCAGTTATTCTGAGGCTTCTCTAAATGTTTTCTGTGTTACCTGGTCTGCTGGTTTCCCTTCCTGAACTGCTTTTTGAAGCTGAAGGCAGGTCATTTGCTATAAAACTATCTCAGAAATGGAAGCAGCCTTTATGTTTGCTCAGAGGAGATTTAAGATCATGTCTCTGACCCCTTGCCTTGTGTTCTCATTATCATTGGGCAGAAAACATGACTTCTTTCACCTTTAAACGCTCCCTGTCTTTAGCAAGGTAAATTCAACACCTGATTTATATGGTTTTACATTTAGGACCACAGAAATATCAGCTCTGCTCCAGCCCTCCACAGTCTGCTGTGGTAGAAACCAACAGAGGACATTCTTTCTCTCAGTTTTGTTTTATACTGGCCATCCAGACAAGATTATTACCCGAATATCTACAACCACATATGCATGGGTTTCCCATAGTAATAATACTAAAGTTAATAACAGACCAAGAAGAGTGGTACATAACGAGCAGCTGGCATTCATTGAGCACTTTCTGTGTGGCAGGCTCTACCCCTGAGTTTTACATTATATCATCTGATTTCATCTCCATGAGGTTGCTTTACATCCCTATTACACAGCGAGAAACTTGAGGCACAGAACATACAAGCAGTTAGTTCTGGAATTGGGATAAAGACCTAAAGAATCGGGTAATAGTGCCTGCTCTTGGCACTGGAGTCATGCTGCTGTTTAGGTGACAGGGAACGACTGACAGGTTAGAATGATGGTCACGTTAGTATTTCAGATAGCTCCCCGTGACAGAGGTATGTAGGATGAGCTTGAGTTCTTTTTCCCTTACTGGTGCTTCCTGCCCACTTCAGACCCATTTCCCCTTTGCTTTACAGCAGTGATAGCAGGCAATGGATGAAAACATGTGCTCCTCCTGTGTTTCCTATTATACTAATAACACCTTTCACCTGCCCATTTCTCCAGCTAGCAATCTGAGATGAGACTCATCTTGGACTGTTATTTCTCCCTCTGGGTCTCATATTCAGTTCATCACTGATTCTTTGTATTTTTTAATTTTTTTTTTTAAAGATTTTTATTGGGGAATTGGGGGATGGGAACAGCGCTGGGGAATTGGGGGAAGGGGAACAGACAAGTTGCTGTCCTTTTGTTCTTCAGTCTAGTTGTGGAGGACGTGGCTTCACTGGCCCAAGTTGGCACCATCATTGCACTCTTCCCGGGCGAGGCAGATCAGTCTCTGGCTTCTGGACGGCCGCTCACTGTGGCTGCTGGCCACTCACGCTGGCTGCTGGCTACACATGGTAGCCCATGGCAACCCACTGCAGCAGGGGCTGCAGCCCACTCCGGCGCCGGCGGATCACAGCAGCCCAGCTCCAGGTTGAGCTGTTGTTCAGCATCTTAGCTGTGGAGGGCAGTGTCACTGGCCCTCATATGTGGGATCCGAACCGTGGCCCTCTGGCGTCCCAAGCCAGCTCTTAACCAACGCGCCACTCGGCCAGCCCTATATTTTTTAATTTTTAATTTTACTTTTTGACCCCTTTCGCCCATTTCTCCCAATCTGAAACCACCCGTCTTTGGCAACCACCAATCTTTTCTCTGTATCTATGAGCCTTTTGATGTTTTGATTCCACATAAAAGTGAAATCATACAATAATTGACTTTTTCTGTCTGACTTATTTCACTTAGTGCCCTTGAGGTCCATCCATGTTGCCACAAATGGCATGATTTCATTCTTTTTCATGGCTGAATAATATTCCATTATATATACAGAGTGCCAAAAAAAATGTATACACATTTTAAGAAAGATAATAACTGGTTCCATAAAAATGTTTAGGATTATTTGTTTTATTTCTTTGAAAAATACCATTGAAATTTTTATAGGGATTACACTGAATCTGCAGATTGCTTTGTGTAGTATGAACATTTTAACAATATTGATTATTCCAATTCATGAGCACAGAATATCTTTGCATTTATTTGGGTGGGTCTTTCTTAGTTTCTTTCATCAATGTGTTGTAGTTTTCGGAGTACAGGTCTTTTACCTCTTTGGTTCAATTTATTTTAGGTATTTATTCTTTTTGATATAATTGTAAATGGTATTGTTTTCTTAATTTCATTTTTAGATAGTTTGGTATTAGTACACAGAAACACAAATTTTTATGTATTGATTTTTGTATCCTGAAACTGCTAAATTTGTTTATTATTAGTTCTAACAGTTTTTTGATGGAGTCTGTAGGGTTTTCTATATATAAGATTATGTCATCTGCAAATAGTGACAGTTTTACTTCTTCCTTTCTGATTTAGATGCCTTTTATTTCTTTTTCTTGCCTAATTGCCCTGGCTAAGACTTCCAATACTATATTGAACAAA